AATACTAGCACTCTCTCACAGACTGTGGTTTATCAAGAGATTGCTCGACTGTAAGCCTGTGTTTCAATAAAGGGAGAGTGTGAGGGTGACAGAGACAGAGAGATGGAATGAAAAATAGGGGGAGGGGGAATCATCCTCCATATGCTTGAGTATTTATTGAAAAGGGAGTGGTCATTAGGGTTTATTGAAAAAAGGGAGGTTGCCTCTAACAGACATGAGTGTGCATGTATACAATGTATTGAATTTAAGGCTGGCAGTGCAGTCCAGGTTTATCGATGTGTATGCCTGTGCACCAGTGAAAGGGATTTTATAATTTTTCATTAGTTTCTTTATTTGTGAATTGTAAGACTGGTCTCATAGACTAGACATGACATAGTGAATCTGGGCAACTGAAGTTAGTATAATATGTTATGTTTGGTATGGTTACATAAGATAGAAGGCTACTTAAGGCAAAAAAAACGTCTAGCAACCCGAAGGTTGTGTGTTCGGATCTCATCACGGACAACTTTAGCATTTGAGCTAATTAGCAACTTTGCAACTACTTAGCGTGTTAGCTAAACCTTAACATTGACCCTTTTATTTAGCTAACCCTTTCCCTAACCTTAATCTTAACCCTTTAACCTAACTCCTTAACTTAATCCTAACCCCTAACCCCTAACCCCTACAGCTAGCTAACGTTAGCGTTAGCCACCTAGCTAACGTTAGCCACAATAAATTGGAATTTGTAACATATCATACATTTTACGAATTCGTAACATATTGTACGTTTTGCATATTTGGAACATATTGTACGAATTGCAATTTGTAACATATTGTACGAATTGCACTTGGTAATGGATGATGGAAGTCCACAAATTAATACATACCATACAAAACGTAACATATCATACTTGGAGTGTCTCGGATTTGCTTACAGAATAATATGAAATGTTCTGAGACGACCACGTTGGAATTGTGCTATTAGATTCACGCAGAATAGATAGTTATTTTCTCTGTTAGAAAGCACCCGTTTTGTTTGATGTGTACAGAGAGTGTGTGTGAGAGAGTACAGAGAGAGAGAGAGAGAGAGAGAGAGAGAGAGAGAGAGGGGTGGGTGGGCGCCTTTTGCAATCATCGACTTTGCATGTGTCGTGATTAAGACGTTGGGACCCTCTGCAAGGAAAACCAGGGATTGGAATGATACTTCTGAAGAGAATTGCCATCATCATCTCAAATGAAACAGATGGACACAGGGAAACTGTGGCATCGATTTATGCATTTGATTAAATCATCTCATTTTTGCCGATCATGCCAATTATGCTTTGAAATGGTAACAGTGTGCAAGGATCCTTTCTGATGAGGGAAATGTATAGCCTGACTGATATCCGAAATAGATTATTATAGCAGTTATGCTATTGACAATATTCATCAAAGTGGATGAAATGAGCACACGATTTGGCGCTGCTGATGCTTCCTTTTGCATCAGTTCGATGTTGCATGAGGCTGGGCACTGTGCCAGATAGGGTTAATACACTGGATGTGTGCATTAGAAGATCATGGTGTTTTAGCGCGTGTTGAATTCTGTTAGCATTTATGGGGATGTGCGAAAATATGTCTGTAGCTCATCTACAGTGTGATTGTCGCAGCGCACTCCGGGGCTCAAGCTGGGCTCGACACTGATAGACTAACCTACGTTTGTAGCTGAAGAGGAGACAAGCAAGCTGATGAATGATTTACCACCCTACCGATCTATCAAGCTGTAGCAAAAACATATAGCAAGCGTCTTCCTCGCCACCACGATCTTTCCGGATGTCTCTGCAAGACTAGGCAAGTCAGCTGGCTCGTCTCAAGTGAGGAATCTGTTGCGCTCGCCGTCCTTGGAGAGCGCAGTTCGAGAGGTAGCCTACCCGAGCCCATGGAGCTGCGCCCCTTGATCAGCCTAGGAGGACGACACTATGTACTAGCTCCCCGCTGATGATGATGGGAGGAATCAATGTTCTCACTAGAAACCTCTTGAGACTGAGCGAACTCTGAGGAGCTCCGCCTGGGCTGCAACAACACCAGACAGGAGAGAAGAGACCGAGACAGACCAGACGCTGACTCTGCGTGCGCCAGGTTGGGCCTGGATTCTTGCCGGCGCCTGTGGCTCTGGACAGATAAGACAAACCTTTCCTGTTTGGGCATTTGTCTGGACAGGGACATCTTAGCTCTATCACATCAAAAAATATATATATGTAAATCTACACTCTACCAAAGCAGCTTAAAGTTGAAGCATCAATTTAGCAGACATTAGTATTTTGGGGTCTGACCCTAAGCAGCACCCCAAAGAGCCTCTCCAGGGGCCAGTTTAGTTTATCAGAGACTAGGCAGTGGTCACCATGCAGGTCTCTTTTGCCTGCACGGAGCACAACCTGAAGAGCCGCAGTGAGGACCGGCTTTGTGGCCTTCGCACTGCGCCACCCCCTGGGGGAGGCAGTGGGGGAGGCGGAGGAGGGGGTGGAGGGAGCAGCCAAGGGGGTAATGGCAACTACAACACCCAGGGCTCAGCCAAGCCCAGGGAGCAGTCAGGGTCCCGCCCGGTACCCCAGGGCCATGCCCACATGAAGGAGGCAATAGGGCGCCACAGCAGCATGAAATACAGGTGAGCAGGGGGAGGGAGGGGTACGGAGTGGAGTGCTGATTATTTTGGGTGGAGAGGGAAAGGGCATGCCAACAGAGCTGGCACATACAGGTTGGGAGGGTATCTGATTCAATGAGTGTTTTTTTTTTAATGTTGTGCCTGAAGAGTAATGAAGGCTCATTAACCTCTACCTAAACGATGGATCATTATGATGAAGGACTCAGACACTGCCGTCTCACTCCCTGGAACATGACGGCAGCTCAGGTTACCCCTGAGCACTTCCACTTACCATGAAGGGCCTCTCAGACAGCACCGGCTGCCAGGGGTAACTTCATTGCGTTTCAATTAACACCTGATTTGTCGTGGAGGGTGAACAACTGCATTAGGATTACATCATTTATGGGGCTGGGAGTTTTGGTGTTTGTGTCTCTCATGTCTATTCTTGCATGTGTGTGTAAGCTACGATGGAAATCCTCATCATATTAAGATGGTTTCCTGAGCATTTATAAACGTCGAATTCATCCAGCTGTGAACGTTATATTGCAAAGTACAGTAGGTACTATGTGCTCATTCAATAGGATTACTATCACCAGATGAAAACAATAATGGGACTGTTTCTATTTCACATATAGTGATATTGAAATACAGCAGAAAGACAGATCTGTAATCCCTTTTATTCATTCCAGAATCAGATTGAACGTAATAGAATTGAACAGTCTTTATCAGATTGAAGTCTGCCTACATCAGATCATGTATATAGGCAGCTATATTCTGGATGGGTAAAAGAAAATGCCCCTTAGCTCAACCCTGACACCATTCTCTTCACTCAATTATGTTTTCATTTAAGAGGCAGTTTAAATAGGGAATGAGGCTCAGGAGGAAATGGGATGCCAGACTAGTGGTTTCATTA